CTCTACCAGCTGAGCTATATTGCCAGCTCCTGAAGTTCTGAATCTTTATTTGGAGTTTGATATATGCTCTTTGAGGCATCTACTGGGAGTCACAGATAAGGGGGAATTGTTACATATTTGAAATGTAACTTTTCTGCTAATAGAAAAAACTGTCAGCCTGTTTCACCAAGATGGCATTGAAAGCTAAGAAGAAAGCTCCTGCCCCTCCCAAAGCTGAAGCCAGAGCAAGGGCTTTCAAGACCCAAAAGAATGTGCTGAAAGGTATCCACAACCACGCAAAGAAAGTCTGCACATGACCACTTTCCAGTGGCCCTAGGCACTGGTTCAGGAGGCAGCCCTGGTAGCCTTGAAAAAGTGCCCAGGAGAAACATACTTGACCATTGGGCCATCGCTGTGAAGGGGAGAGAAGATAACAGCACATGAGTGTTCCTTGTGGACATCAAGGCCTAAAAGCCAGATAGGCTATAAAGAAGTTTCGTGAGGTTGATGTGGCCCAGGAGAACACCTGATCAGTCCTGATGAAAGAGGAAAATATCAGAAAAACTAAGTTCATCATAAAACTCTAAGAAGCATTAAACCACAAAATGAGATGATGGATTTAACTCTGTCAAAGACTTATGTTTTCAGTGAAGGACCTCATATTCAAAGTTGACTGGTGAAGAGAGTTAAAACATTACAAAATTCACAAGGTCCTAAGAACTGGAAGTTTTAATAGGACTTAACAGGTTAGCAGAAAAATAGAAGTCAGTAGAAGATGTATAACAGAAAGTCAGTTTGCAGAAGGGAAGTGCAAGTGATGATAGGTGTTATGACATATTAGCTCACACTAAGAAGGAAATTGAAGACACAGTGGTGAGCGGCAGTTTGTGATCTTTTTTTGTCTAGCAGTCTTTACTCCTAGGTTTACCCATCAGAGGATCATGTGCACAGATCCATCCATCCATAAGAATTTGTTGGTCTTGGGATTTTCTCTCATGAGATTGTTTATGCACTCAGACCCAGTTAAGAGAATGGATGAATAAAATGTAGTTTCATACTAGGGAGTATTATGCAATTGTTGATACCAAGAGAGACTTTGAAATATTGATTGGAAAAAAAAGCTGGTTTGTAATACAATACTATTTTAGGTAAACCACACCCACTCTCTACACACACACACACACACACACACACACACACTGGATTTTTCAGTGATACTATACCAAATACAGGATTGTGGGTGCCTAAGGTACAAGATGTGATGGAATTGGAATACAGGAAAAGTCAAAAGAGCCTTATATACTAATGGAAGTGCATCATGAACTGAAGATTTGGATTAACTCCACATGAGATCAAGGGGGAGGAAAAATAACAGCAAGAGAGTAAGCATTGAATTTGGTGAATGGCAAATTTGGTGGAGTAATGATTAAGAAAGAAGTTGGTATAAAAGTAGTGAACAGAAAGATGTTTTGCTAACCTATGCAATGACGACAAAAAAAGTCACGCTACATGGTGATTAGAAGATAAGGAAGCTTTTCGTGTGTGTGTTAGCTAAAGCTTCATTATTAATGGGAGTGAGCAGTAGGTAGAAATCGATATGAGAAATGGATAACTCCATAATAGAGTTTGAGTTTTAAAGAGGAGGAGAGAGATCGAGAAGGCGAGTTAATGAGTTTGCAGATTTGTGATGATGGCATGGGTTTGAATGCCAGTTGCTTTGTCTATTTTGGGTTTTGTTGTCTTCTGTCTCCTTGAAAGGCAAGGGTGACTTTGGGTACTGTGAGCTAAGCCAGTGCTGCAGGAACTCCTTTTCCCCAGTGAAACAACTATTTTCATGTAATTTTTTTTTCCTCAAGAAAATTTCCTTAGAAACACAAACATCTCATTATAACCAAAATACTTAGTATGTGGGGAAATACTTTAATCAGATCATATTATTACACTAGTTTCTCTGTGAAAAGTTAAATTATTAGGAACACTGTTTGCTAGAATGATCCTTTCTTTTTTTAAATTAATTTTTTAAAAATTATACATGACAGCAGAATGCATTATAATTCTTATCACACATATAGAGCACAATTTTTCGTATCTCTGGTTGTATGCAAAGTATATTCACACCAATTCGTGTCTTCATACCTGTACTTTGGATAATAATATCCATCACATTCCACCATCATTTCTAACTCCATGCCCCCTCCCTTCCATTCCCACCCCTCTGCCATATCTAGAGTTCATCTATTCCTCCCATGCTCCCCCTGCTTACCCCATTATGAATCAGCCTCTTCATATCACAGAAAACATTCGCCATTTGGGTTTTGGGGACTGGCCAACTTCACTCAGCATTATCTTCTCTAACTCCATCCATTTACCTGCAAATGCCATGATTTTATTCTCTTCTGTTGCTGAGTAATATTCCATTGTGTATATGTCACTTTTTTAAATCCATTCATCCACTGAAGGGCATCTAGTTTGGTTCCACAGTTTAGCTGTTGTGAATTATGCTGCTATAAACATTGAGTGGCTGTGTTCCTGTAGTGTGCTGTTTTTAAGTCCTTTGGGTATAGACTGAGGAGAGGGATAGCTGGGTCAAATGGTGGTTCCATTCCGAATTTTCCAAGAAATCTCCATACTGCTCTCCATATTGGCTGTACCAATTTGCAGTCCCACCAGCAGTATATGAGTGTACCTTTTTCCAAAGCCACAGGCTCACCAACACTTCTTATTGTCTTCATAATAGCTTCCATTCTGACTGGAGGGAGATGAAACCTTAAGAGTAGTTTTGATTTGCATTTCTCTAATTGCTAGCTAGAATGATCCTTTTTGTGTAGTTATTAGACAGGGGGGGACTCAGACCTCCTTTGAGAAAAAAGCCTACCTAGGTCTCCATCTCCCACACTGAGGAAGGAAGGAGCAGGGTGTTCTTTGTTCATTTACAGTGCTTTGTAAGGTTGTTACATCATTACCACTCCTTTCATATTTGTAAAGGCACTGAATGTCAGTTTCTGTTCAGTGTATTCTAAATGTTCTTATATTTAGGGAGCTTGATTTTTGTGTGTGATTCTTTTCATCCTCTGAACTTGGTGAATTGTGGAATTGGGATTACATCCACCTTGGTAACACTCTGGTAGACCACGGCATCCACTTGTTTGACTTTCAGCTGTTACTTGGCTTAAAAAGATTAGCTCTTGCCTTTCACGATTTTTAAATTTCTTAGATTCAAATAGGTTATGAAAAAGAAAAAGAACCAAATGGGTCATAAAACTAACTGCATCAAATACACAAGCCAGTGACTTATATATTATGTTGAGTATATTAATTAGGATTTCTTACCTAGCTAAGTTTCTCTGTGATGTCTGCAGAAGTTCAGTAATCATTGGTGGGCTATCATAACTTGTGGAGTTCATGTAGAAGTTCATATTAGGCCCAAATAATTTCAAAATAAAACTGTCTGCCCTCTTTCCTCCAGGGTGGGAACTAGCTAGGATCTTCTGGGCAGTCTTAGGCACATCTCATGTTCTCTAGGATAAGCAGTGATGAAGTTTTACTGGCTCAATCTTTTTTTCTTTGTTGTACACACTAGGATGCTATTGAGGTGTAATGTATAAATTTACCCTTTTAGAGTGTTCAGTTGAGTGATTTTAGTAAATCTGCAGAGTCAGTCAACCATCACCACAATCCAGTTTTAGAATATTTCTGTAGCCCTGTGACAATCCCTTATGTCTTTTGCAGTCACTTCCCATTCCTAGGACTAGCCCCAGGCAGACACTGATCTTCTTCATCTGTAGATTTGCCTTTTCTGGACATGTCACCTCACAGGACTAGGCAGTACATTAGTCTCTTGCATCTGGCTCCTGTCGCTTATCCATGTTGAAGTGTCTATTACATAGTGTTTCATGGTCTTATTGCCAAATGAGATTCTGTTGTCATTGTATGGACGTACTTCACTCGTTTATCCATTCACCAGTTGGTGACATTTGGGTTGTTTCCAGGTTTTGGTGATTGTGAATAATGCTGGGAGCAAGTGATGCATTTTTGAAGATGATTCCAATACGTGTAGTACCATGGGGTGTTCTAGCTGTGAATTGGGTGGTACAGACTGACTGTGGCCCACAGTTCTACCTTATTAGAAGATGATGCACATTCAGTTCCTTTCCCATACCCTGTCCCTATTGTCATTGTGGGTTTGAGTTTACTAACTTGGGTGCAGAAGCAGCTGACCATCAATAGTTTTGTTGTTGTTTGTTTGTTTGTTTGTGTGTTTCTGGGGAATGAACCCAACAGTTTGTGCATACGAGGCAATCATTGTATCAACTGAGCTATATCCCTAGCCCAACCATCAATAGTTTTTTATGTTAAATTTTATCAGAGGAACTGTGACCAGTTATAGATTTAAATACTCAGGACTATAATGTTATATTTAGATAAAATTTTTCTTTCGGCCTAAACAATTTGTTTTCAAACAGTTGAAATATAGAATGACTTATTTGTACTTGTAGTCTTATAAATTGAGGTTTGGGAGGAGTCTTCTTTCTCTGAAGATCCTCAAGAGCACTTCTGAGTTTGGGGCTTCAGCAAATTGGGAGAGGGATACAGACCGATTTAGAAACTGGTGAGATGATATAGTGGTGAGAAATCCCAAAGATGCCATAAATCTAGGTCCTTTGGCCTTGAGCACGCTACCAGTGCTGTCTAGCAGAGCTTTATTGTTTCTGCAGTATACAGTGCAGTGACCACAGGTGGCTGTCAAGCACTCTAATGTGGCTAGTTCCTGAGAAGAGAAATTTTTAATTTTAGAATTTTCACTAACATAAGTGTAAATAGATACATTCGGCTAACAGCTGCTGAATTGGGCAGGGGAGTGTTAAACAATTTCATTAAGCTGCCACAGTTTACTTTTTAGGTTGTCCCTTAGGATTCTAAGTTTATTTTTGCTAACTTTGGGAAATTGTGCTGTTTTGGCGTGATTTTCCACAATATTTTTGCATTCTTAATTTTCTTTATTCTTTTATTGCTATATATAGGTGGCACAGGAATGGATCAGCTCTCCAAATAAAGAAAATTTCTATCAGTTGCATTTACGAAAATTTCCAGCTGATTATAAGAAAAACTGGGAATTTGTGGGTAAGTTTCTTCTTATGTAACTTGAGTATATGATACAGTAATTAGAGATTTCCATATAAGAAAAGACATTATTGTTGTTTGAGTTTTCTGGGACATAGCTTTGCAACCTCTTACGACAATATGTGAAGTTTTAGTTAATGAGTAATAGGACAGTTATGAATATAAAATTCATGGGTTTCTCTTTCCCACTGTGTAATTAGAATACTGCAGGCTAAAGTATCAGTGGAAGCTGTGGATGGGAGGGAGAGTGTGAGAAAAGACTTAAGTGAGGGTGTGAGAGTAGCTGCCTATACATTCTAAGTAAGTGTTCCTGGTGTCTGTAGTCTTGGTTCATACTTGGTTTGACCCCATCTGGCTTTGATGCTTAGTTACAAAAACGAACCAAACATCAGAACTCCTTAAAATAAATCGCATTAGTATGCACAAGATTCTGAGTTTGATCCCTAACACCTGAATAAATAAATAAATTGCATCACTCCTCTTTATCTTCCCCACCATGCAAATCCCATCCTACTCCATAGGTCCACTTAGGAAAAATGAGCACATGTGACTATTTGGGGGAAATGGTAATATACATTCCTTGTAGGCCATTTAAGAAATATCAGCAAGCAGTAACATCACCCCCATATAGTTCCCATCATTGAGAGATATTTCCATTAACTTTGGGGGGCGGGGGGCAGGTACTGAGAATTGAACTCAGAGGTACTTAACCACTGAACACATACTCAGCCTTTTAAAATATTTAGAAACAGGATCTCACTGAGTTGCTGAGTCTGGTTTTGAACTCACAATCCTTCTGTCTCAGCCTTCTGAGCCACTGGTATTACAGTTGTGTGCCACCAAACCTGGCTCTATTAACATTTTGGTACTTATCTTATTGCAAACTTTATCCTTTTCCAGATTAAGAGTATGCACATTAAATCATTGTACTTACTTCACAACAGTTTTCATTCATTATTCAGCAAATACAGACTTATTGACCTGATAGATGAATCTAGTACAGGATGCTTAGCTATGAAGAAAACATAAAATTCCTGCCTTCAGGAAGGTTACACACACACACACCTTTTTTTTTTCTGGAGGGGCGTTGTGTGCTGGGGATTTAACCCAATGGTGCTTTTCCACTGAGCTACATCCCCAGCCCTTTCTTTCTTTCTTTAAATATTTTTTTAATTTATTTATTTGTTTATGTGGTGCTGAGGATCGAACCTCACACATACTAAGCAAGCACTCTGCCACTGAACTACAACCCAATCCCTTTTTTTATTTTTAGTTTTTAAATGTTTTATTTATTTATTTATTTAGGTTGTTTTTACATTGGTGGGAACTGAACCCAGGGCCTGCACATCTAGGCAAACACTCTACTACTGAGCTCTACCCCGGTCCCCTTTTTTTTATTTTTTGAGACAGAGTTTCATTAAGTTGCTGAGGCTGGTCTCGAGCTTGCCATCTTTTTGCCTCAGACTCCCAAGTGCCTGGGATTATGGACATGTGCCACTGTGCCCAAGGAAGCTCATATTTGACATATTTTCATTTAACATATTGTAAGTATCTTCAGTGTTATAAAATAATAACAATAGTATATTTAATAGTCATAGTTATTCCATTGTGAGCATATTCATCAACCAGTCATTCCTACTTAGACTTATCTATCTTATGTATCATTTTTCTTCCTTTTTTTTTTTTAAATTTTTTTGTAGTTGAAGATGGACAGAATGCCTTTATTTTATTTAATTGTATGTGGTGCTGAGGATCGAACCCAGTGCTAGGCAAGTGTTCTCCACTGAGCCACAGCCTCAGCCCTTGTGTATCATTTTTTAGTATTTTAAACAGTAAATGAATCTCTTTGCTCAGTCAGACCATATGCACATTTAAGACTTCTGATTCATATTGTCTTGGCTACTGAAAGGAATACCACTTTCACTTCCAATGGTAGGATGTACATTTTTCACATTTGTTAACTTGACACTTTATGTGTGAAAAATGTATATCATTTAAGGTTGTACTTCTGTTACCAAACATTTACTTGGTTATTTGTGTTCTTGGGAATAGTTCTGCCTATTTATGGCCTTTTCTCCTTTTTCTTATATTGGGGTATTATTTTTCTCTTCACTTGTAGCTCTCATTGCGGTTATTTTCTTCAGTGTCATTGTTTGCTCCATTTTGTCTTGCTGTTTTGGAGGCATAGATAATTTTTATTTTTATGTATTCAAAACTACCATATTTATTTCTTTATAGTTTTATTATGTATCTAGGTGCAATAACCACAAAACATAAAGCCATTTAAATATAAGTCCCCCCTCCCTGCCACAAACATCTGTTTTATATCTCTCTGTAAATTGGTACAGATTCCTAGCAGTGCATTCAGCTTGCTGGGGAGGTCCTGACTGGAATGCAGAGGGCTGGGGCACAGCCCGTCTTAGCATCTACTCACTGTTAGAACAAAGAGACCGGGCCAGACACAAACTTCACAAATCAGTTCAGCCTTTATTCAGGAACAGGACTACACCTATGGGAATGGATCCACTTTCCTGTGGAAGATGAGCCACCAGACAAAGGAGGGGACTGGTTTTATATAGGTTGTGGGTGATGTAGTGAGTGTGCCAGTCTGGGCACTCAAGAATTTGAGTCCTTGAGCTGGGGGGGTCAGTGAAGTTGTCTTGAAAAGATTAGTATCACTTCTAGGTTGGATAACACTCTGTCTCCCCACCTGTGGCCAGTGTCTGGGAATGATTTATCTTGAAAGAGAAGAAAGTCATCATTGTATGACTTTCTTTTCTATTTTCTTTTCCAAGGCCTCACTATTTTGGGGTTTTTTATTTTCCATATCCAGTGGGGTTGTTTTCACCATTTTTTGCTTCTAGTTTATCTAAATTTTTGTCTCAATCCTGGGGACTGATTTAATTTTTTTCCCTTCCGCTTGGAAGACAGAACTGTGAAAATGTTTACCATTTGTGCCATCCAAAGCCCGCCCTTGGGAAATTTGTGTCCTTTCTCTTCACACCTGGAAGGAAAAACGGAAACAAAGGTTATTATTTCCTGGGCTATATTTTTTCTCCCCTTATTCTAGCCAGCACAGCCAGAAGCAACGGGGGGATCCAGCTGTCAGCCCTCCTGGAGTTGGCTCTATCGTTTTCAAATTCCTGGGGTAACTTTTACCTCTCCTACACTAGATAACTTCGTAACTTACCCAGGTACCAGCCAAAAGTTTGTAATACCCACCTACATCCTTCCTTTTTCCCAAACACTGCTTTTGGTGAGTCAGGGTTGTTCTGGTGAATTCTACTTCTGACCCCAACCCTGGTGGGAATGGGGAGTCTCTGACAACCCCTCTGCTGTGTTGGATGATTTACTAAGAGGAGTCATGAGGGGCTGGGGATGTGGCTCAAGCGGTAGCGCGCTCGCCAAGCATGCGTGCAACCCGGGTTCGATCCTCAGTACCACATACAAAGAAAGACGTTGTGTCCGCCGAAAACTAAAAAAGAAATATTAAAAAATTCTCTTAAAAAAAAGAGGAGTCATGACACTGACCATATAGTCATATTCATGGCTATGATTTTTAATCATGAAAGAAAGCAACAGAAAAGGGAGGGGGCGTGCTGGATCAAGTCTAGAAGAAATCAGTATCCTACGAGTTCCCTTCTAGTGAAGTCACAAAGAACGGGCTGTATTCTCTCAGCAATCCATTGCAACAACACACAAGAAATGTTTCTTCTAGAAAAGCTCATTAGAGACTTAAGCCCAAGGTAAGTATGTACCAAATATACCAAAGTTCTAGTCTTTAGGAAAAACAGTGTTTGATATGAGACTATTATTTTCACAAACAAGTTAGACATAGTAAGCCATTTTTTCCCAGGGAATGATGAGAACTGTCCCGAGACTCAAGTTCCCAGGCACCATCCAAGGGCAGTCTTGCAAGCAGGCCTTTCAAAAGGTAGCAGGTGCACTATACTCTTCTTCTGCACAGCATTGATGAATAACGGCATTTTTGCTGAGTCTACAACCAGAAGTGGATCATGGAGTATGAGTCGGCATAAGTCCAACTTTAGGAGATAAAGCCAAGCCTTTTGTATAAAATTAAATCCCACCAGCAGTGCACAAGAAGTAATATTATTCTGTCTTTGCCAGAACTTTGGTACTGGTTGTTATAGTTTTAGCTGTTACGATGGAAGTACAGAGTTGACCCTTGAGTTTATTGTGAAGCTGAATGCATCTGTGGAAAAGCACCTATTGGGAGTCTCTTGTTCCTTTTCTGTGACTTGTCTTTTTTTTTTTTTTTTTTTTTTAAGTTGTTGATGGACCTTTATTGATTTATATGCAGTGCTGAGAATCAAACTTAGTGCCTTACACATGCTAGCCAAGCACTGTACCACTGAGCCACAACCCTAGCCCCATGATCTTTTTCTTATCGGTGTTAGAAATAAGTTATTCTCCCACTTTGGCTTATTTTTTAATCTTTCAGTGATGTGACAAAAATTCTTATTTTATTCTTTTTTTTTTTTTTTTTTTTTATTTATTTCTTAGGTGTAGCTGGATTCAACACAATGCCTTTATTTTTATGTGGTGCTGAGGATCGAACCCGGGTCCTGCCGGTGCTAGGCAAGCACTCTACCACTGAGCCACAATCCCAGCCCCTTATTTTATTCTTAACATAATAAGTTTATCAATTTTTTTCTTTTATGGTTAGTGTTCCATGTCCCATTTCTTATTATGAAGATTAAGAAACTTTTCTCTGCTGCAGACTATAATCTAATAACTTTATAGAATCACAATCAGCTGACCACAGCTTGCCCATCTCCCTACCCTGTGTTTTGTTTTTGTACTGCCCTAAAGTAAGATCTTTGCATTTTTAAATAACTATGAAGAGGAGAATATACAATTCATAGCATATATGGCTCCAAGCCTGGAAAAGTTTACTAATTGGCTCTTTATAGGGGAGGTTGGTAGACCTTACAGTTCACCATTGTTTTTCTAACCTGAGGTCGATTTTGTGTTATGAC